GATGGATTACTTGAGCCGCCACAAAAATCTTTTAATCAGGCCAATATGCGTCTTCAACCATCATCGCCATATTCTCAACGTATTGAGAAAATCGTATTTGCTGCCTCATTTCTTCTCTGGCCTATCAATAGTCAATATATACTTGCAAAGTTTTTGGCATTTAAACAGTTTTATGCTCATTTACTGGTAAATTTGGTTTTTTTTCTTCGCAAAACTATTATTTGATTTATAATTCCTTTCTTACCTCTTTGTGGATGGTATAGGTCTTCAAAGTCGGGTTCTCTACTAGAGCAATGGGAGGCTTCTGTGCTATATCTTAGCAGTGCGCTGTTTTAGGCAGAGATCTCGAGTGTTGCTTCTGGAATCTGTTGAAACTAGTTTCCAATTTACGGATCTCAGTCCTTCTAGTGTTTTTATTACGGGTGGAACTACTCCTCATTTTCTTCTCTTTTTTCAGCTCCTATTTATTTATTCAGATGTCCAGCTTCGTATTCGAATATTCCTCTCTTGATATTGCTATATCCATCACCAGTGCTGATTTTTGGTTCTTGTCTACTACCATGATATTTAGTTCATCGGTCAATACTTGTTTATCTTTTTCGATGGAAAAGGTCCCACAGGATCTTCACCTTATTATTCACTATTTTTCATTCGATCTTGGGACTTTTGGCCATATATTAAGCAAATATTCCTATAAAGAATGCAACTTCGTTGTCCTTTCAGTTTATATATGCTGTTCTTTCCTACATCTTATACTCACGAAATGTTGGATAATTCCTGAGGCTTTTTTACGTAGTCTGCACCTTGAATCATACTGAATATCTCTACGATGGATGCTTGTGCTTGATATTTGTACTTATGTTCTTATGCTACTATAAGTGCCTCAGCACTATCTTTTATTGTCTCCACTTTTTTCCAACCACTGGTAATGTTACCTACTTCAGCCACCTGTCGATGGTACGTCATATGAAGAGTCTTGCTTTGCCATTGTACTCTGCTTGATCTTTTTCCAGTATCTGTAGATGCTTCAGATATTCTTTGAGCAGTTAGCAGTTCATTCTTTTGTTGCATTCTTGCTGTTGTATTCCTGAATATTTCATTCGAGACATGATTTTGATATTTACCAAGTCTCACTCGCGTTTCCGGCTGGTATGCAGTCCTTGGTGGTTAAATATATCGTATCGATTTTGAAAATTGTTCTAAAAAAATTATGCTTTCATTTGTCTCAAGACTTTCAGTTTAATGTCTTAAGAATACTTTTATAGGAACAATTTTAGGAATATTGTCAGTTGAATAAACCATACGTATTGGGAATGAATTGTTCTTTCTATTATTTTGAAGGCGTAGCATATGCTGGGCTGCAAGAACCACATAATGTATGTTATTTAATATTATTTAATGTTATCAGATTAAATAAAATAAAAGAATAAAGAAAAAGAAGAAAGAATAAAGATTGAATTTAAAAAAATTAAAAAATCGAGAGGACTATTTCGGTTTTAATTTGTTAGAAGAAAACTGAAAGGAATTTGGTAGAAAAGAGGTAATATAATATAAATTTATTTATTCAGATTCAAATTTAAAGGAATATTTTTTTCCTCATAGGCGCTGAATTCCTTTTTGGTAGCTTATGAAATAATGAAAAGTGGCGAGGGTGCTCTATCAAATGATTTGTTCAGCTATGTTGATACGAATGACGATTCAACGAATATTACTGAAACTGAATTTTTGATTAAAGTTACATTTCAACGATAAAATTTTGCTTATTTAAATGAACATTTCATTAGTTTTTTTGCATATTCTGGTTCTTTTAAAGGTCATGGGTATCATGGAGCAACACAATTACAGTGAGCAGCTTGTGACTCTTGGGCTTTTGGCGTTAAAGGATTGTGATAATAAAACATTATTGGTTAGTTCAGCTGACATTTGGATTGAATATCTGTTATTTCTAGACAAATTGTCTTTATATTTTTCGTTTTTGGTAAACCATTAAATTCGGCGCTTCTAGCAGATGTGTATTTCTTATCGTTAAAAATTTTATTCATATTTTCTGTTTTGTCTATTTTTTTTATTTTCAATTTATTTATCGCGACGCAACATAACTTATACTGTGGAACTGTCATAATTTTAGCCCGACGTTTATAACATCTTGTTCAAGAGTGAGTTATTAACGAATCGATACCAGGAAGCTTTGCATACTCTTCTTTCTAATCCAGTGAACGATACACGTCGTAATTGTCTAAGAGAACTTTTGTCAAGATTATTGGAAAATAATAAACGAGAAATTCTTGTGCACTTGAATTACAAAGATATGGAAGAATATGTAAACATCGTTTCTTCTTTATAATATAATCTAGTAATATATATTATATATATATATAAAACTTTTCTCACCTCTCTCTTGGTGGTCATATAGTTATAATTGTACCGGAGGTCTGGGAGATTGAGGATTCAGCGCAATATTTTGGTTATTCCTATTAGTGTGTTCTTCTGGATGGAGATCTCTGATGTTGTTCCTGGAATCTGAAGCCACTTTTCTAGTTTAGGAATCATAGTTCCAAGTGCTCCAGTTATCACTGGGATTATTTTGGTCTTTGCTTCCACATTTCCTCTAGTTTCTCTTTCAATCCTTGATATTTCTCGAAGTTCTCATATTCCTTCTTTCTGACGTTCATGTCGCTTGGTATTCCTAAATCAGTCACCAGTGCTGATTTCTTACATCTATTATCAGGAGGTTTAGTTGGTTGGCCAACACTTGTTTGCCTGTTTGGATAGAGAAATCCTGCAGGATCTTATTATTTTCTGCAATTTTCTGAGGAATCTCAAGTTTAATCTTGGAAGGGTCTAAAAGTCATATACCGAAAAGATGTTCCTGTAGATGATGTTGGTTACTTGGTTATGCTTTCCAGTCTATGTTGCTCCTGTTTGTATTTTGCATCATGCCATTATATGTTGGACTGTTTCGGGAACATTTTTGTACAGTCTGCATCCAAAGTCCTGTTTAGTGTGGTATATCCTTGTTTCGATGGATGTGGTGCTTGGCGCTTGGTCCCATGCTACTATAATCAGTGCCTTAACGTTGCCTTTAATTCGGCTTTCTCCGACTAGTGGGCTTTCACAGTTTCAGCTGTCTGTCGATGGTGCAATCCATGGGGGACCTTGCTTTGCCATGGTTGATCTAATGTTTGTACATATTATACTCAGAAGTTCATCTTTTGGTGCCATCTTGCCGATATATTTCAAAATGCTTCGAGTTTCATTCAAGATAGTGGCCTTCAAAACCACCATACCCCATCCTCCTTTCCTGCTGGTATGCAGTCTTTGGGTATTAGACTTGGTGTGGAAATTTCCGTGCATTATGAGGAGTTCCCTGAGTTTTACATCAATTGCCTCCATGTCTTCCTTTGTCCATCTTAGAGTACCAGCTGCGTACGTGATCACTGGCAAGGCGTATATATTTATGACATAGATCTTCCCACTGAGGTCTTCAAGATTTGTCTTGTCCTTTGGTGAAACTTAGGTTTTGCAGTCTTCTTTGCCTCTTCTTCGTGGTTACTATGGGATACCAAGGTAGCTAGCCCATATGTTCGCTATATGTCCTGACTGCAGGTCAACCCTATTAGTTGTTACTACTTTTCCTCTCCTTTCTACCATCCGACCACATTTCTCTAATCGTAATAACGCAACATCTTCGCTGTAGATCCAAGCTAGATAGACGAGCGAGTCAATATCTCATTTGCTTTTTTGCATATAACTTCATCCATATATTCGGCATTTGATAGCTACTTATGTAAGCTGTTTCGAGTTGATTGCTAGTGTTATTTTCCATAATCCCATTGAATTCTCATTAAACGCTTTTAGGGTCCCGTTGACTTTATATAAAGCCAGACATTCACAGACCCATGTAGGGCATTGAGTCATAGGTTTTTCTGTAGTCACTCTAAGTTGAATACAGATTGGTCTGCTGAGATGATTTTGAGTCTAGAATGCCTTATCTATGACTAACTGGTATTTGGAGCCTGTGGTGTTCTTTCTAATGCTTTTTTGAACTCATATACTGGCTTATATGGTCATAAAATTTTATGGCAGTATGCCATGCCATATGACAGGACTTTCCATATTATTGGGATATTATTGGGATTCTTTGAGATTTTTCTTCAGCCATCAGTAGGTGGTTCGTTTCGTTCCGATGTATCGTTTGGCGCTCATGATCCACTGTTTGCTTTTGCAGTAGGAATGAACCATGTACGAAACAGGTGACAGGTGCTTTCCAACATTTCATATTTTTAACTCGGTTCTGGGTGTCAGCAATTGCTGATTGGTTCTTGCTCTGGTAGCCGTTGTTGCGACCAGTTCTCACATGCCATTTTGCATTGGTGTTATGAATCTTCTGTTTCTCCCATATATTCTTCCAGTATTATATAGTTTCTGTTATTGTGCCTCTGTTGTTACCATATTACTGCACTGAAGTGAGAGTACACTTTGGGTAGTTCCTTGGAAAATAGGACATTTATCTTTTTAACCTTTGCTTTTCTAATATACCTCCTTAGTCTAGTGGCCAGTGCTTTGAGTCTTTGTTTAGCTCGAGAGCTTCTGATGGGATGTAGTCCCTGTATTTTCTAGCATCTGGATATTATTATTTTCCACACCTCTATAATTCTACAAGTTGGCTAACTTCTTTGTGTTGCACTTTGATCTTTTTTTCCAGCCTTCTTTTCCATGAGCGAATTGCATTGTTATTCTTCTTAAATTTTATAACGCAGCATTTCGAGAATTATAGTATATTATGGTAGTACACCAATTCATTAATTTTTGGTATAATGGCAGTAGGAATTGCGAGGGCTCTATTTGCATTTTCATTTATATTATCTGGTGGTATATCACTGAGCCTCAATATTCAGTCTGATGGTCAATTACAGTTATTTTATTCATGATTTTCTGCATCATTGCAAGTGCTCTCTTTGCAGCGAAGATATTGGAAGGCAATTTCTAACTTCCCAACTTGTAGCATGTACATCTCTTCTTTCATCTTGCATTCTGGGTCTGAAGTGTAGCGCAGAATTGATTCATCTCCAACTAAGAAAATAGTTTTCTCTTTCTTATATTGAAACATTGAGATCCTATCATTTCTCAGTTAGTGTAGGCACAATGTAGTTTTTTTTCCATCCACAGTATATACATATATATAGTATATACCTTCATATACGTTTCCCTATAATCCCTTTCCCTTTGCTTAGATCTACTATTATAGTAGCGATGCTTCCATCAGTTCCAGATTATTTCTTCCATGTAAAATTTGTTCCAGCAGCCTTTTTAACGCCAGATTACCCTGGCCCCACAACAATTGGCGCTGTTCCAGTAATCAGATAACTCTGGTCCCTCTGTCGCTGACCTTGTTGATCTATCCAGATGATATCCGAGACGGCATGATTCTAGTACGCTTTCTTATGAGTTAGGGCAAGTAAACATTAGATGAGTTTGCCCAAAGACCACATCGGAAGGGTAGAAGTTTTTGGCTACGATTCGTACATATCCTAACAGTGATTTATCTAATCTAATAATCATAAAATGTAATCTAAAAATGCGAAAAAATCTTCGAAAATTTCGGTTTTTTAGTCATTTATTTAAAATTAATCACCGTTCATCGTTTTTTTTTAAGTTTCCTTTTTATTGCATTTATTTCCAAAGGATATATTGGTGTGTTGATATCAATGATTTTGAATAAGAAATTTTTTTAGGCAATAGAGATTCTTGAAGCGCGAGCTCGAGTAGGTGGAGCTGATAGTAAAATGTTATATGAATTGCTTTTTGCTTTTTATTTCAAGAGAAGCAGACTACATCGTGGTATGTCTTATGATTCTTTCAGTTACCTAATTGTTTTGATTTTCAAACTTGAATTGTGATTATGAATTATGAATTTTTCCATTTTATTGTTAAATTAAAAATATGTTGCGACTGGACTGACTCACTTAGATTAATAAGGTCTGCACCAGATGTTAAGAAACCAGGTGCGCCAATTAGTCCAGCATAAAAAGGACTACTAGAATAAATCTTATATGGATGGGACAGAATTGATGGAATGCTAATATTAGCAGGCCTGGAACTTATATGATTGAAGGAAGTGTGGGCAGAAAAAAGACCTATATTCACATTGAATAAGAAACAGTCGGTGGCCCAACGTTTCAACATAGAAAAAAAGGACATGTCTCAATATCTCAATTCTGCGCTACATTTTAGAGCCAAAGTGATTCGAAAAAAAAGAGGGAGAGATAGAGCATACAACAAGCTGAGAAGCTGAAAATTGTCTACCAATAATTTTGCTGCAAAGTAGAGAAATACAGCAGGAAAAATCACCAATAAACTAACTAAAGAAGTTAGCAACGGTGTAGATTATGAGAATTCCTCGCAAGCGAATAACACTATCGAACTGCCGAACAATAACCTGTTTTACCACAGTGTGGAAAGATCAGGCATCATAGCTATCAGGCGACAAGATTATATGAGCCAGCACGCAAGTTCAAAATTGCATTGGTGGGAACAACATCAGAGACGCAGAATATTTGCTTAATATGTGGGCATAGAACCTTATAACAGCAGATGGAAGATTCTCTAGAAAATCATGGACAAAAATAGGCGAAGATCATGTGGAACTTCTCCATCCAAACAAACAAACAAGTACTAGTCAATCATCCAGATATCGTAGTAGTAGACAAGAACCAAGTGGTAGACACATTAATAGTAAGTGATAGGAATGTCAGAAGGACAAAATATGAGAGATTAAAAAAATACCAAGGACTGAAAAAGTGGAAGTAAAGGCCAAAATAATCTCAGCGATAATTGCAGCAACTGTGACATTTGGATTAGAAAATTGGCTTCAGCAGATTCCAAGAATAAGATTAGAGATTTCTGTCACAGAAGAGCACATTACTAACATTAAGAGGAACAGCTAACATACTGGCAGAATCCTCAATCTCTCAAGCCTCCGGTAGGGGATATTGAGGTTGACCCTTACCACCCACAGGAGGTGAAAAAGGGAATTTTATTTATATGTAAATTTTTTATTCTCTTGTGTAATAAGATTCTCTTGTGTAGCCAGATATTTCAAATGTTGAAATTCGACTAATATTTAAATTATAGCTGCAGTGGTAATGTATGAGCATGCAAATTTATTGCTTCAAAAACTTCAAGATCGAGAAACACTAAAACAGAGATGCTATGCTTTAAGTGTGACAGTAGAAACATTACGAGTTTTAGACGAATCTAGCCAATATATTTTAGCACCTTCTTTTCAGGTAATTTTTTTCTTGTTTATTTTCTTCTGATCTTATTGAATCGTGAACATTTAAATGTGAAAACAGAATGTTTTGAGTCAGTCTAATTAGAAAGTAAAATTCAAATTCTTTCTTTATTTTATTTAAAACTATTTTTCTTTTTTACTTTTACTTTTTTATTTTTTTCAGCTCATAAACTATGAAGAAAATAATTCTATGCTTTTGGGTAAAAACTCGCATAATTTTCAAGGGGACATTATGGCTCAAAATATAAAAGAATTTGATTATAATGGTGCTCAAGGAATTCAGTTACTAACTATAGAAGACTTGTTAAAGGCATGTTGCTTTAAGAATTAAGCTTTAAGAATTTATGAAAACTGTCTCATTTTTTAAATTATTTCATCTCTTGAATATTTGTTGACATCTTATTTATTTCAATCTATATAGCGTGGAAATTCAGAATAAAAACAGCTATACAGCTTTTCAGCTATATATTTATATTCTCTTTCTAAAAATATTCTCTTTTCTTAAAATTAAGATAAAAAACTTAAATCCATTTTTGAGTTTTTTTGCGACTTATTATTATTTTTGTCCATTCCAATTTTAATTTATATTAGGCTTTTGTTGCCTATCTTTTTTAGAATGATTATATCTTTTCTTATATCCAAGTATTGATTTTAGATTCTGATTCTTTCGAATGCTCGTTTGGAATTATTGGATGCTTCAGTTTTTGATGGTAATTGTGCATCAAATCCTCCTCCAACGCTTCTAACTGATGTTTATAAGCAATTGGTTGAAAAGAAGTTGTATAACATAGCTTGGACATTTAGCAGGTGATAATGAATTAAATAACGATAAATTTTAATAATTTATTTTTCTTCTTAGGCGTTTTTATTTTGTGGCTATAGAATGATAGTGGCGATAATTCTTTTGTCATAATATTTTTTATTTGAAATTAACTTATTTCATTGCTAAATCCTATCGTGTTATTTTTACGCTTTCACGTCATCTTCCGCTGATATTAAGACAATGTTAAATATGAAAATTTTCTTAAAATGCTGAATTTGGTAATTAAATTACATTATAAATACAATAAAATTGGTTGTTTACTTTAATTCATATTTTTTTTAGTACATTCGATATCAGTCCATACCTTATAATTAAATCGATAACTGCAGAATGTATTAAGTTAACGGCAAACCAGTCCGAAGATACTCAATGGGTTTCAACATGTCGTAAAGTCCTTGCAGAATGTTCAAAGTTCGGAACTTGGACATAAATTTGTTTTTTGCCTTTCTATCAATAATAATAAAATAATAGTCCTTTTATTAGAGTACTTTTTGCTGAATGAATTTTTCTATATAAACTATTCTAGTAGATTTTAATTAATTTTTCAGTTAAATATCAACCTTTAGATAATTATCAAACATTTAAGTGACAAAAATGCACACTGGTTAATTTTGCGATCCTTTGTCGAAAAAGGTTTAAATGAAAGGACATATGATGTAAATATATTGAGATCAGCTGCTGAAGTCTTTTTACAATATGACTGGCCCATACCGATTTGGTTGTTGACTATTTATGAGGTTCGCCTTGATCTACTTTTCTGAATCATAGATTCTTTATGTTTTTCCGTTTTTCTGGAAATTAGAAGACTCCATTAAATATTAGGTTGGCATTAAATTGCTATTTGTCAGGAGAAGAGGATCGACGATTTTTTGCACTTATTGATTTCATATGGAAATTTTGAAATGGCAATAATCCTGTCAATTAAACTCGTTAAAGCCATGACTTCTGCCATAACTTCTGCTCATTCTCAGACAATGCTTCCTTATAATGCAATTGAATGGTTATTTGAATTGACTGAGAAAAATGGTAATTCAGCTTTGGATGAGGTATATATATATATATATATATACATTTTTTAATTTTTAAATTTACTGCCTTAATTTTTGATTTCAGTTAACCTTTGATTAATTTTTTATTTCAGTCCTTAAAAGTTCTGTTCAAAAGTCTGCAAGCATACTTCAGGCGCTTGGAAACATTTGCAAGGTAGAAACAATAATTTTGTCTAAATTTTGTTTTTTCCATATTGTCTCGTTCTTATTGTTCGTTCGTTGATGCTTAGAACCCAAAATTAAAAGAAGTCATTGTTCATATTCTATAATTCGTAAAATCAGGACGATTGCTTGGCGTAATATGTTCTAAATTTAATTTGCGAATGTCAGCCGTCCTCCTAGGAGTGTTATTCATTTTATACAGAAATACTCATGAAGATCAAAACCGTTTAAAATTATTGTTTGTGCAAAACAAGTGCCTGATCTCCACTGATAGTGTATAAGGCCTTTTTTTTCATGAATTCTTCATATATTTTTATGTTTTGTTTTTTTAATGCATTTAATATTTTTTATCTTTTGGGCTTTTTTGCTTTTTATTTTACACGAGCGCTGAGTTATTTAAATGGAACGTTCTGGAATTTTCACAAAAGACACTTTAATTATTAATTATTTATATTTTAAGTTTAAAATTGCTAAATATCAATCGTTGTTTCTGAAACTGAAACTGTTCAATTTATTAACTTGTTTTAATTTAATAATTTCGTTTTCATTTTATTATTTGCATTATCTGTGAAAGAAGCAGAGGCATTTAACAAAATTATAAAATATTTGAAACATATAAAACATTACGAAAGAGAAGGGTCACTTAGCGACAGAAATGCAGGTGAGTCCGCAACAACTCCTGGATTTCACTTTTAATGATAAATTTGCTCCTGTGGGAGGAGAGTGCTCGAAGCCAAGCAGCGTAATATATTTATTCGTTTTCCACTTCTGTTTGAGCATTTTTAGAATTTCTTGTCCATCACTTCTTGGTTTGGATTAGAAATTTTTCGAATTATTTAGATTGTATAAATTACGGAATGATTGAAATCAATGATGTTTTATGTTCTATATTAAATCCTTCAAAAAAGTAATAATGGAAATAAAATTAAACTTTTAAGGTTTTTGCGAAAATGAATTGTGGTTATCTTTCTTTATTGTGAAGCGCAATAGAGTGATTTTAAATGCTGGCTGAATAAAAATCTTATCGAAAACCCCAAAGACCGTTTGGTTCCATTTAAATTATTTTCCTTTTCTTGGACTCGTCAAATTTTATTTTGTCAATATTGAAACATTATTGAAATGCTGTGGAATTCTGTTCTTTGCTTCTTTAAAAAGGATGGTTTATTTTTTATAACTAAAGGAGAACTTCGTTTACTAAAAATAAAAATAATAAAAGTATTTTATTCATTTAATTCGCATTGGTCATATATTGTCATAGATAAAAGTATAAAATTTTTAAAGGCTATTTGAAAGATAATTTAAAAGATAATAATAATATCACGGGCTGTACGATCAAAGTTTGCAATTATGTGTCATATGGCAACAAATCGTCTGACGGTAAATCATCTGAAATTAAACGGAATGAAATTGGATAACTGCTGAAATTTATGCTAAAATTATCTCAAATTTAAGCAAAAAATCAACCCACAAACACTAGAAAGATAGGACAATGCAAAGGTCATAACTGGCACAACTGAACTCGGTCTGGCCATAAATAACGGAAATTTCATTCAGTTAGAAGATTAAGACTAGGGTAGAGAGGGGAGGAGGGCTTCGCATCTTCAAACCAGCCTTGTGTTGACCGTATTCAGATGAATATTTTTAAGGTATATTATTACGCTTACTATGCTTATTATTTTGTGTTCACTATCTATTTGGTAATTAATTCGTTGGTTTTTAATACGATCTTTTCATATAGGAGAGTAATCACCTCAGTAGTCAGCCAAACCACTAGTGCTTTATATATTTGGGTAAATTTAGATAAATAATTAATTATCCTCGTTTGAGGCATTTGGCATTTGACGATATTTTTTTAAATAGAAAGGGAATTATGATATCCATATTCCTTCTTTTCGCTTATATATGAAAATTTCATCATTTTTTAGAAATTTTACGTGTCATATAATATCTTGGAATATCGATTCCAAAATGTTTAATGACACAAAAAAAAACTTAAATATACTTAAACACTTATATTTGATCTATGTGATGGCAAATTTGCTCTTGTCAAACGACTGTACTTGAAGCATGTAATTTAAGATATTTACTGGTGATCAGTGAAAATGTTTTGTAAAAAGTAGCCATAAATCAATTACTGATTTTTTTAATCCGCTATGCTAAAGAAGTGATGAAATGAAAAAGCGTTTTATAGTCGAGGATTTTAAATTATATAATAGCGCTTTATTTATTTAATTTAAGAAATAGCATGATCTGCACATCTTTTTTCAAAAGAATTTCTAAAAGAAAATAACAAGCTCGTGATGTTGGGGGGGGGGGGGGGGGGGGGGGGGGATGGATATAGAGGAGAGGAAGCACATCTATCCCCAAGAGATTCTCTGGTATAAGGGTATCACTTCCTTAGTCAGCCATACCATAAAAGTGCGAGAGCAGTCAAATAATAAACATTAATTACTAACCGTATTTATAAGATAGATCGAATATGAGCAAAGCATTTGCATAAACGGATACAACAACAAGATTTGTTTCACTGGTTAAGACCTTTGGTTGAAATTTTTCATTGTTAATATTGCAGCAATATCTGAATAATAGCTGAATTCACTAATTTATCAGAATTATTGCGGGTAACGGGTAATTAAGCGAAAGCAGCAACTCCTAATTTCATTTTCTTTTCTTCTTTATATTTAAAAATTGATTTTTAATGACAAATTTATTCCTACCAACAGACAAAGATTGAAGCTAGCGCTCCGGTGAATTATCATAGGACACCAGTAGGCATTTCTTTTAATAGAATTCACAATTTTTGAGACACCTTGCTCTATCGCTGACTTTTTCATCAGAGAATCATTTGATGATATATGATTTTTCAACACACTTACACTTCACCTTTACACAGATTTATTCCAATCAATGGACAGGAATCAATGGATGGATAGTAAATGACGATCCATAAGACAATATTTACTAATGATTATCACTATAAGAAAATTAACGTGATAAAGCAATAAAGTAAATAACGATGATAATCTCTCTGTTTTTATGGTTTTTTTTCTAATAATATTGATATCGAAAAAAGATACCGATATCCGCCAACTGTGAAGTCTTGGTTCATTTTTAATTCTATAGCACCCGAAATGCATCCTGGCGAGCATATATAGGTAACGATTTTGTTGATTCTTATTTTTATCCTCTTGCTTTTAGGAGCCTACAATACAGATCGACAGATAAACTGGCTCTTGTTTATGATAATCTTATGTAAATATTACTCTAATCTTAGAAATTTTGTAATAATGGAATTAAATATAGTAAGGGTAACTTAAAGGTAATGATAACCACCTTGATGTGCCAAAAGCACCCTTCGTATTCATTTTCATTGATTTTATCAGCTCCGACCGACCCTGTTAAATTTTGCCACGAAGTTTTAGCCTTAATTAATTATTCATCACATAATTTTCGTGATTAAGATAAGTAAAAAAGAATTAAACTTTGCAATAAGTTTTCGCTTTGGATCAAGGTTTTCAACTAAAAATCAGAACTTTTGGGTAATTTTTTCATAAAAGCATTCGCATTCGTTTCGGAGAAAATTAAAAATATTGAACAAAAGATTGCCGTAAGAGTTCCACCACATCTTCGTTGCCTATTATAAGTTGGTGCAACTTTATCGCATTCTGCACCCCCAAATCCCAATGGGCAAATGCATTTCTCACATTGCTTCGGTTTCATAAACCCTCCATGTTTGCAATCTGTTTCAAAATCTTTATTGCTACATTCTAAAATATAAATATAAATGAAAAATGCAGATTAATGTTTTGTGAATAAAACTGAAAATTCTCTGGAAAATCTAGAGTTTTAATTATTTTACCTTAGTATTTGAGAGAATAGTCAGCATTGGCGACCGTACTGTTAGAATTAACTTTTTTGCTTATTGTTAATGCATTTTATTTGAATCCAGAGAAAATTGAGAAAAATTTTGGAGCAGCTAACCATCAAAACATTCATATAGTTTGTTTATTACGAGGATGTCGCTAAATGAAGGAAATAATCTTTGGCCCATTGCGTTTTGATATTCTTTATTTTTTGTAGTGATAACTGGCACTGATTCGTTGATAGCGAAAGCATCTTAAATTTTTGTTTTCTTATTGATCCAAGTCCATCATTATTTAAGACTTGATACTTTACTGGCTAAGGATTAGCCAAATGATTTTGGAAAAGAGGAAATAAAAATCAAAAAAACGCTCAAAAAGTATTATTGTGTACCGGATGCATATGCCATAACACTACCATAATCGAATGGGACTCCAAAATTATCTGTAGTTTCTGCAGATTGCTGCAAAATAATATGTAGTATTTGTTTATTTACCCTTTCCTTGTCCTAAAACTACATAATCAATTCGAAAATAATACGTAATAGATGGAAGGGTCGAGCTATATGCTGCTTGGCATGATTGGCTAGATTCCTACCTATCATGACGAAAAAATGAAATTTGGATGGTGATGAGGAATCATCAGTCTTTTTTCCTTCAAGCGACTCACTGATTTTCTACTCATTTCAGATCTTATTCAGTGAAGCCAGAAACCAGAAACGAAACCAGAAATGATAAATATTATCAGAAGGAGTGGAATTACGAGTACATTGCTAATACTAATACACCCTGATTGATTAGTTTTAATTGATTAGTCATAGAAATAGGACATAAGCTGTTGCTATTTAGAATAACTGTATTTTAATTGTTTATATACCCTATGAAAGTTGCCGGCAAAAGATTGTTTAACATTATTGAAATGAATTTCCAGATATTTGTCCCGATCAGATCGCGAATGTTGATGGAATAATCCTAATGCATGGCCGATTTCATGCGCAGCTATTCCGATCTTTAAGATATCTTATTTTTAGTAAGTTTAATTATGAAAAAACAAATTTGGTTATTTAATTAAAGCAAAAATGAAAATTTTTTTTATTTTTCTGAAAAACCTTTACGTATAAAAAATGGCGATGATTTTATTTTTTTTCGTGAATTAGTCGATTTTTTAGGAACGTTCAAAATTTGTAATGGAACAAACCCATTCACAACCTTCCCCAATTGAAATCGCTTGTTCAGGGTTAGACTTAATGCGACCAATATTGCTGAAACAACCATCACCAGAGAAAAATCTAATTTTGTTTTCTCCTTCTCCATTCTCAATGAAATTAAGACATGTCGAATGTTCCCAGAGTTGAATGGCGTCTTTTATAGCCTTTTTCGCTTCATCATCTGCAAATTCAATATTTGGGGATAAGATTAATTATATTTAAACTGTTTTTTAAAAGCATAACATATAAGTAAAGCAAATAAGTGATATAAATAAGAAACGGGACTAAAAGCTGCGGTAATTAGTGATTTTACTGATTTTTTCGTCAAAATAATATGGAATTTTCCTAGGCCATCTCGTATCTGGATAAGAAGCATCCTTAATTGCTTGTCGCTTCTCGACTTTTTTCTGTTCATTTTCTATTTCTTCAATTTGCTGCTGAGTTAATACTATGTCACCTAAAATTCAACACTGTTTTGGCAATGAATCCTCATCTTTAATTCAATATTTTGATCAGTGGGAAAGTTTTTCATTTTCATCTTTTTCATTTTCAAGTTTTTCATCATTTTTCAGTTTTTCATTTCTTTTGGTTTTCATTTTTTTGAATAGTTGGCAACAGACTGAGTTGAAATTAATTTTTAGTTATAGTTATAAGTTTAAAAAAAGAAACATTATAATGGATAAACCTTGATAAAGATATTGGGAAATATTCTTATTAAGATCAACAATATCCATTTCATGCGACTCGTTCATGTTGTTTCTACTTTCCTAAATATTATTGCAACTTTCACATATAATTTATTCATCTTATAAATATAGTGTTTAGAATAATTCAAGAATTTAATGAAAATTAGGAGTAAATCGTATAAACCAAATTAGTAAGATATCTGGTTCTCCTATTTATTGTTATATTTGTTCCACTGACTATTAGAAAATTTTGCTAAAGAGTCATTTACAGTTGGATCTCAGCATCACGTAGATTTTGACAGGTTCATTCAATAGAGACATGAAGTATAATGCTCGATACGAAAACTTGACAACACTCCGCTATTTTACTTCATTGTCATTTATATGCTTCGTATTTTAACCACTCGTAAATTATTTCTCAGAACGATTTTGCAGTAGTAGTTAAAAGAATCCAGTGAAAACAAATGTTTTCCGATCTAATCTCATCTTTCTCTATTATTATGAGACTTGTGGTAATCAAATTTCGCTGAAATTCTAGATATGTAATGAAAGGAAACGCATCATACAAATTAATTTATCTAATCAGATCGCATTACCTTTTTAAAACGATTGGCTGTGGAAGTTTCATCAATGATATGCTTTTCATTTTCGTTTATTTCCGAAAGTCCCTTTTTGAGCATATTTGTGTTCATTCCGCGAAAATTTTTTTGCAGCTATAAGTGGTAGAAGTGGTAAAAAAATCTTCATGTATTCAAATTTTGATGGCTTAAATTGTTAGAAAATGGTTCTGTATCTAAAGAAACCCCCAAAAACTAACATATGGTTATGGTTACAGTTTTTGATTTTATTGGCTTTTATTGGCTTTAATTTTATCACCTCGTTCTGTGTCAGAGCTAATGATTTCTGCTTCGTAATCGAGATGGCGATTATCAGAACTGCGATCGCTAATTTCATTCGTACTGTGGAAATTAATGCAAATCTGAAAGGCTTAAAGGAACCCTAAAACGTTTATTTAATGTTTTTTTATCGTTTTGGCCAGGGAGACAGATCTTCACTGGTAACATTGCTCTTTCAATCAAACTTAAGCAATGGCATTTGCATAACAAGATTCAATAAGGTAGATTTCTTATTTTCGCGTATTTTGATTTTAAATATTTCAAGAAAAGAACATTAGAGTATATAAAAAGAAAGCAAAAAATCGTAAATAAAAACTGGAAGAACTGGAGAACTGGATTCTCGGTGTGCCCAATGTTTTCAACAGAATGCAAAATACATCCGTGGAACGCATCCCTTTATACCGAGTCCAATGAGCTCATATTTATTTTATGCGATGCTGTGTTCCACATTTCATTTTTTGGCATTCCTTTATTCACCTTTAAATTGCTGCTGCATCTATTCAAGTATGAACAAAACCTTCTAATTTTTGCAAATAAATAGATTGCATTGCCCTATTATATTGCATTGCCATCACCATTTACCATTTATTACATTGTCAATTTTATTGCAAAACTGACAATGTGCGGATCTTTCAGAATTGTCTATATAAAACCTAGACCAGATTGCTCTTCCTGGGTTTAGATGGAATTTTTAACCCTTCAATCCTAAAATCTTACTTAAATAAGCTAACAATTTTCAGCTCTTGTTGTATAAGGATTTCAGTCCAGTATATTTCGGAATAGTTGTAAATGGTTGCAACCCTCTTTGCTGCATTGAATAATACATACACCTTTAAAATACGATATTTTTCTACGGCAATTTTCAAAATTCCATTCCAAGCCTCATATAAACATACATATGTATACGGTTTTCGAGATATTTAAACCAAATTTCGAGAAATATCATCTAGTTCAATTTTCGGCCACTTCATGTGAGAAATCTAAAAATCCGAAGCCGAAACAATTGAACACTTCAAGAAAAGCACAAACTGAATTTCTGACTATCTTAGTGGTCTCGTTATAACCATTCTTTTATTCTGCATTGCAATTTGTATTTTACAAAAATCATTTTAAAATCATTACGATATCTGTAGATTTTTAGCAGAACAGAAGTTAGATAGATATTAACGGTAACAATTAATATTTAACAAAAATAAAAACATAACGAATAATCAAGACAATTCAGCCCGTTTCTGATGGTTTCAGTCGCCAAAAAGAATTATATATAATATATAAAAGGATCATATATAAGAATCATATAAATAATCATATATAAAAATTATTGGCATAACGAAAATATATATATATATATATGATTCCATTTATCATTCACAGAAAAAAAAAGGAAAAAACCACTTAGGCATCATAAAACAATTTCAAAAAAGTAACATCTAAGAATTCGAGAAATCATGCATCTTTTAATTTGATGGAAATGCACTAGCAAGAAATCGGTTATTACATATATATATATATATATATATATATATATTATATACAATTCAATTGCAAATACTCGCTCACCCACCATAATGGAAATAGTTACTTAATTCTAAACCCTTAAAACATATCAAAATTAAATAAATGTATCAAATATTATTAGGGTCTTTAATAGACCAATTTTCGCGATATTAACACAAGGAAACCATTTTATTTCATTCTTCCTCTGGAACCGTCGATAATTCTTTTATTTTAATCTTTTCTGTTGATAGCGCAACAGTAATTGTTTCTTCTACCAACTCAGGTGACCCTTTTCTTGAAGTATCAAACCCTCCTTAAATATATTGCATTAGAATTTGATTCAAAGCAACTTTGATTTTTTTAAACACCAAGTGATTATGCACTCAAACATAAATCATATAGGTAAGAGTGAGTCAAAATTTTAATGTGAAGTCAATGAAAAAAGGTAACCTCGCAATTTCATGCGTAGCTTTTCCTCACTACAATAGCGTTCTTGTATATTAACAACAATTCTTTTGAACTCTGCCATTATTTTCTTACGTTTTTCACTCACTTCCTAAATAAATTATATAAAAAAAACGAATCAAGATATTGATGTAAAAAATAATGATTCCTGAACCACAGAAGTGCGGTAGAAAAATACCACATAAATATATTGGCTAAAGAACCTTTGTAGCTTTTCCACGTTCCAATTTATCCTCCTCTTCAAATTTAGCGGATATTGATTTCAAATTTTTTCTTATCATCTGAATTGACTTGATAAACGAGCCCATTCATAACAAATTTAATAATAAAAATAATAAAAATTAATAATAAAAACTGTGATAAAAATTAATAACAAAAATTATAATAAAAATTTCCAAAAGAAAGGATTTGAAAAATAATAAAAACTGAGTTCGATGAGAAGATGATGCATGCACATACCTTGACTGTATCATCGCTAAGTTTAATCGGTAATCTAGGTCGCCATTTGAACTGTATTAAACGATCGAGCCCTTTACGATAAAGCTCTCTTCCTTGAAAAGTGTAAATCCTATACCCCATATCACCTTTACCACCAGAAATGGTACTTGCTGCAGAGAAGAAACGACCAGTTGGATCCCAAGATCCCTTAAAAAGTTTCCCTTAAGGGATTTTATAATATATAGCCAAAATTATTTTCAAAATTAAAACAATTAATATGCTAGCATGTAAATAAAGAAAAATCAAAATTTTTAAAACAATTTTTTATTATTTCAAAAAATCCCAAACCATTCCAAATGATAAAAAACCTTATCAAATCCTGGGTATTCCACTAAATTTGTGCGACTTGGTTCTGGGCCATTGCCGTCAATGAACATAATATTGCCCGATGATGAACTCGCAGAATATACAACTAACCACCCACCAACTGGAGACCATAAAACATTGCTAAATCGGTCTGCTGATTCAAATTTTGATAATAATTGTGGAACATGTTTTGAAGGATCCAAATGATAAATAAGCGGAGTTGATTTGTGTTGAGAACCAACCAACAGACAGAATCTATCACCTAAATATGATGAGAATTTACAATATATAGTCAAAAATTTCTTCAAATAATTCATATAATTTAATAAAAAATTTTTCAGGAGAAATTGCTATATATAGAAAAATCTACCTGCTGGCTCCCAACCAAATGCTATATATGGTTCGTTTAATGGCAATGTTAAAACCGACACGTCCTTTCCTCTGGCATCAAAAATTTCAATGTAAGAAGCTGGTTTCTATAATACTATTTGTTTTCGAAAAACTTCAAATACGACAATAAATTTTTTTCTTATTAAATGAATTTTTACTTATCATCCCTTACTTTTTTATTTCGAATTTTTTTCCAACAAAAATAAGCGCCATTTTAGAAAACAAATAGTAAAGGAGTCATTAGAATAAAATAGAACAGAATTCCGGAAAGCGCTCACTATATACTTTATATCTCCTTCTTCACTAGTTTTAACGATTTTTTTCTGATACCGTTCCGTATGTGCAGCTAAACGATCACCATTTTTGTTCCAAAATAATTCTGCATCCGACACAGAAAAAATTCGTTGAGCTCGCAACTTAATTTTTGATGGAAACTCCATGATTCCAATTTCTGCTGGAGCATTATCGTTCGACTGAAAAAAAAGTAATTAAAGGTAAAATGAAAAACAAAGGCAATTATGCAGGGCATCGCTGCATCTATTTTTTAGCAGAAATTTAACAGGTGAAGCGAGAAGTAATTAAAAATAAAAGAGGCAAGGATGTAATAGGACTAAGGTAGTAATTAGAAACCCTTTCTTCACAATAATAAGCCAAATATGGACGCGTTGGCGACCATTTAAAGCTTCTTAAGCCATCAACTTGAACATGTTTCTTATCCATAAGTGTGAAATTTTCGGTTTCATAGACACTTATTCCATTACCACCAGGCTTTATACAAGCAAAATATTTTTCATCGAAAGACCATCTGAATGTTTCATGTTATATGAAAAAAAATAAAAAGATCTTTATGAAACAAGAAAACATAGAATTAAACAATTAAACAATTTCCTTTGTAAATGATCAGAGGGAAAATATGCAATAATGATTGTCACTGCCTTACCTCTCTCTCCCCTCTCTTATGACAATGAATTTATTTATATCAAATCAAAAATTTAATTAAGAAATTCAAAATTTCAAACGATCAAAATCATACAGTTCACATGTTCATTTTAAGTTAATAGCTAAAATTAGGCACCTAATTTTATCGTTCTTTATTAAATATATAAATAACATACAATTGTTTCTCTTTCTAATTTTTCTATTTTGGCCTCAAATAAAAAATATAATCATCATACTGGAAATAAGGCCAAGATGACATCTGAGTATTGTCTAACATCATCCCACGCCGCATTTCACCAGTTTCAATTTCAAATATACGAAGAGAATTCGGATCATCACGCCAACGTTTTTCCGATGGTGGAGAATATGTAATTAAGAATCTGAATTTTTGTTTTTTTTTTTCATTTTATTTACTTATGATATTATATTTTTGTTTTATTTACTTACGATATGACACTATTAATTAGTTACTGGTAATATTTCGTGGAAAGATTGTTCTTTCAAATAAAACAAAAGTACCTTTCACAAGGCGAAAAGTCAACCATCATCACATTTTCATGCTGGAATCGATTGAAACGATTAAATTTCTCTCCAGCCCATAAAACCACACCCATACGATGAACACTTGTAAGGAAAGTTCCATATGGTGACCATTTGAACACTGTTTCCGTCCAATTCTAAATAAATAAAAAGTTATTACTTATATAACTATTATATAATTAATAAAGATTAAATTTATTAAAAGGATAAACAAAAAAAACGTTGAAGAAATAATGAAATAATGAAGGAAGAAATTTTACTACTAGTTGCTATACTGTAAAAAAGCAAAACTGTAGAAGTTTAAAATTTTATTACAGAAATTCCATCCCAAATGAATCAGCAGCAAAATTTTTTAAAAAACCTGTCTCTCTTCCATAAGTATTGGATCTTTGCCTTTGCGATATTCATATACTCCAACGTGTGGTATAACACCACTACCTTTTAAATTGGCTTCGCGCTCATAATGTATAGCTAACTGATCATAACACTTATCACTTTGAAGCCATGACCATAAATCACCCTGAATAAATTAAAGCATAACCAGTTTTTAAATAAAAATTAAATTTTTAATTTAAAGCATAACCAGAAAACGTTACTGAAAATGCTATTCGAATAGAAATCACTCATACCAAGTCATTGAACGGGCGAGGAGCCGGTGGTTGCCAACTTTCATCAATCTTAGTGAATTTATGTATATCATCGAAAAGATTGACTCTGAATTTGTGATTTCGATCGAGTAAATAATTGTCAAGGACAGCAGCGGCATGTTCAGCAATTTCAGTTGTTGGATATAAAACAAAACAATAATCCTGAAAATTTGTATTATTTTGCACTGAAATTCTATATGAATTCTGCACAAAGGTAAAAAAATGAATCGTACCTTAGTTTTATTGTTATCTAAAGGATAATAATCAGTGTAATCCGCATTCAATTTACCAAAAATCTTGCCAAGCACATTCTTAAGACGAGCAAACCGATCATCGCCAACAACAGGGATGCCAGAAACAATTAAGCAACGATGCTCATATTCACTTAACGATGGCTTTTGTCGTAATATATCACCAACAAGATCTACAATCATTTTTACTACTTTAATATTTGAACCCAATAATTGAAAAATTAAACTTACAAGACTGGAATTCCTTAATACAATCAATTAATCAGCCACTTAATAATTTACTTCTTCTTCTAACAGCTCTCACCATTACTGGTTAGGCTGGCTCCGCTGGCTATAAGGGTAAGACGTCTCCAAGCTGTTCGGTCCGATGCCATCGCTAATAGTAATAGAAGCCATTCCTTTTTCCATCGTCTAAGTCCATATATCGTTGGTCCACCTATACGTTAAAAATCTTTCCTGGCTGTATCAGTTCAGATCTTGACTAACTTCCCCTCGCTTTTGACAACTATCACAAGGTTTAGCAAGTAACGAAATATTCCATTAATTCTTGTGGTGGACGACGGAAAACGTGCCCTAGCCATTGAAGACAACGCTCTATGATATTATTAATCCATTTGAATGAACGAGGATGGATAGAATCATATGCGGTTTTATCCACTCGATGGATTCCGGTGATACTGGCAACTTACCTGTATTTCTATCGCCATGGGACTCCCTGGCATATTGCTCAATGTGACAAGCCAGTGGAGCGAGTTTAACCAGTAATGGTGAGAATTCTTTTAAAAAAATGGATTCGCAAAATATATCCTTGAGTGGTGACTGGAAGCTTCTTAATATCTTATACTCCCATTGCTTTCCAGCCATATAGCAAGATCAAGCGAATTACATCCACATGGACACGGATTTTCGTCTTTATGGTGACTTCACGACATCCTGTTGTCCTGTACTGCCATGAGTAATCACAGCAAAATCCATCGCATGGAAGGACAGAAGCAAAAATTTTCGCTGAGACGTCAAGAAGATTTATTCCTCGATAATTATCACAGTACATCCTATCACCTTGCTTAGGAATTGCAAGAAAAATCGCTTTGCTCCAGTCTTCTCTTTCTTCCATACCAGTACTTTTGAAGGTGAGTTATGAACGATGATGGACAATAATTAAAGAGTTCGACCAAAAGACCATCTTCTCCGGGAGTTTTATTGGCCTAATGCTAATAAATTAGATTATTTTCAGAGATTATTTTTTCTTCTACTGGTGGCTCACAGTTTCAAACCTAAGGTTCGACGGGCGAATCAGTTATATTCTGGACAATAGATGGTGGTTAAGTTTGGCCTCAAAAAATTCTTTCAATCTTCTGAGGCAATCTTTAACAGCTTTAATAGGCACTCCATTAATATCGCGTATCATTTCACTAATCCTTTCTCAAGTTATAGTTATTTGTGAAAGTAAAACAGTTTCCTGTTATCACCTATCTGAGCGCCGTCTCTATTCTCAAGGCCATATCGCTACTGTAGCGATTTCTACCCAGCTGTATTATTTTCACTGCAATTCTCCGATGTGCTCAAGATCTTCAGGATTTTCTGACATTCGGAATTTGATAGCTTTTTTAAACAATTAGACAACTATTTCCGATACCCAACTAACGCACTACTAGTATACCCTAGTGTGGAAATGGCTGACTTTCGTCATTTGTTGGGACCAGAATTCATTCATCATTCCAGAGATGTCATTTCATTGAGGTGTTTCGATAATATGATTTGAAAACGCGTTTATTATCCCGGGATTTTTTAATATGAGATAGGTGAAAGATCTCGGGATACGCTGGTTCTTACGACTTGTCAGCTTTATAAGAATCTTGGCTCGAAGCATGGTCTGATCCATAGTGGTCAGTTTCAGCACTCCGAAAGAATGACTATCAATTACAGAACTCTTCCAGAGGTGACTGAATAATATAAAGTCAATCTGATTGGAATATTGGTTGTCCGGAGAGTTCCATTTGACTAGGTGTTTTCTCCGATGCCGAAAGCATACATTAGTAACACAGAGTGCTCTTCATGCTCTTCGATAAAACGAAGGCATTCTCCATTGGCGTTGAACCCATTTGCCAATTAACGAATTCGTCGTAACGGCATCATGACCAACGCACGCATTCCAATCTTCCCCGATTATGACCATGCCACGGTAGAGATCTTGTTAATAGTTGAAGCTCCGCATAGAACCTGTCCTTATCGCGCATAAAGTTGAAGCATACACTGATGACCGAAATATTGTAGAACTTTCCTTTGAAACGTGCATAGGACAAATAGTTATTTACTGATTTCCATTCAATCAAAGCAGATTGAGCCTTTTCCGACATGACAATCGCTACGCCATTTCGCCCCAAGTTATCCGAGATACTACTATGAGCCAATCTTTGCCAGGTTTAATAATTACTCGGGAGCCGACATGAGGAAGACGGACAAATAAGCCACATCCACGCGGTATTTGGAGAGGGTGTGGATCTCTTGGTTTGCAACATCCATAAGCGCTCTAACGTTCCATGCACTATAACCAGCACTTCACCGCGCTTACAAATGTTAACGAATAGATTCTCGCCTCCTCTGACGATATTTGAATACTATCTCGGTTCGCAAGCAAATTCTACTCTTGTGCCTTGGGATTATTATTACTATTATTATTAGGCTCTACGCCCGGATAGTATATAGCATGCACCACCTGATCAGAAGTAACATACGGAATTTGATGCTGAAATTGCGTCAAGAAATCTGGCCTTTTCGCCATAGATTCACTTGAGATAGAGGCGGGTCCCCAGCAGCCACCCGAATTTTTGATACCATGAAATGGTTACTCCTGTCAAAGACAAAGAATAGAAACAATGAAATTTTTTTTTAAAAAAAAGGGAAATTTAAAGATAATTTTAAAAAATTTAAAAGAAAACTTATCTGATTTAGAGGAGATTACGTACTAGCAACGGTATATTAATAATAGTAAACAATGAATAAAATTATAAAATAAGAACACAGTAATGTAATCAAGTGATAAAATATCTTTTGTTAATGAGCAGAGCACCTTTTCGGTAAAACCACTCATAAAGCAAACACATTTTTACATTCATTTACCTTCAGGACCTCCAGCAATTGCTATTTAAAATTTTAATTTAAGATTGAAGATTTTCACAATTTTTGAAATTTTCCATTTGGAACAACAGCAATGGATTATTGTTTGCATCATTATCTAGCTTCAAAAATATATAAGACTATCCACGATATAATTTTGCGAAATACGTCAGCCCACAGACCTTCCATTAATGTCTTTTCATGTTCATATCTTCTTTTTTAATTCATATAAGCCCAAAACTATTTCCTATTTTCTTTTTAAAAAATATGGAGGAATAAAATGACTCAGTGAGTTGTTGCTCAATTCGGAGAGCTGAGATTTGATTTCCCCCGCAGGAGTAAACCTGTCCAAAAATCCGGATGATGCTGCACTTCTATCGCCAAGGGATTCCCTGGTGTATATATCCAATGCGACAAGCCAGTGGAGCGAGTTTAACCAGTAATGGTGAGGACTCTTAAAAAATAAAAAAATAGATATACCCTTTCAAATTCAAATAATTCACAAATAAACATCCAATTTTTTACGCAATTTTCGAAATTTTCTTGATTTATTTTCATACGCAGTTAATTGCAGAATAGCTATTCTGCTTTTTCGATAAAAAAAAAAACAATAAATTTTTTGAGGACCAAATTAACATAATGACTTGGCAAAATTTATTGTTAAATAAATTGGTCAGAGCAGGCTTGAAAAGGAAAAAAAAAAGGAAAAGTTCTCGCTATATCGAATGGTAAAAGAAACCTGATAAATTTTCATAATACCAAATAAGAATATTAAAATTAAAATAAGAATAAACCATGATGAAAGAACAATATCGGTGGAAAAAATTAATTCAATATCTTTGAACAAAACTAATTTTATCAAAATTTAAAAAAAAAGTATCAAGAAACCGAAAGGTTTTAATGATAATATGTTTAATATAAAAAATAATAAGCATTGAGCTACATGTTATTACTCGATGACTACTATAAATCAGTTATTACATTTACCTATTTTTATGAATAAAGCATCGACTGGAGAGATCATAAATATACGCTCTTAAAAACCTAAAATGACCAGAGACAGATTCCACTGCCGCAGTGAGATTTCCTCCTCTGTAAAATTATAGTAAAGAACGAAAATTTGGGACCATCTCCTTGTAGTTCGCGCAATCTTACATGGCTGCGAAATATAACGAATGACCAATAAGAGCGAAATATATTATAAGCTATCTCTGACCATTTCTGCTTAAAGTACATCATCATACATATTCGGCAACCCCTAACCTAAGCTGATTGTCTATTAGGCTATGCTAGATTGTCTAGTAATACTATTTCTGCTCCTTCTATTCCCAGTTTTAGACAGAAATTCCGGAAGAATAGATGATTTGAAATTTTCCACAGTTTTATCAGTGGTAGCATTATGGATGTTATTGGCAATTTACATTTATATGTTCTTCAATTTGTTTTACCTTTTTACTACGCTTAGCTCATATGTTAATACCTTCCATATCTTTTTTTCTATTTTTCGCGTTCTATGAACTATACTGCTTAAAGGAACAAAAGGAACAAAAAAACACGAATAGGCGGAAGGAAATTCCAAACGCATGTGCGGCCGGCGATTTACTGGCCTAAGCTGTGGATCAAAGAGTGATTTCAATGAAGAGAGAGGCATACTGGAAAGGAAGAATTTAATACTTTTGCCGCAACAGTTAGTGGAATACAATTTAATTCTTTAAGATTTTTGGGCGACAATATTTCTTAAGAATATTTACGTGATAAAATTACTTTTCTTGAGAAGAAAAACCACAAAACCCGTTTTTTATCAAAAATTTAAAAATCATTTCTTTCAAATAATTTTTGTTTAATGTGAATATTAGTTAAATGAATAATTGATAATTGCACCTTTCTTTTTCCAATTTTCAATACCTAATTTTATTTATTTTCTATGCGAATTCCAACTTCGATTCTATAAATTCGAGAAGAAAAAAGACTAAAAAGCGAACCTTCATCGCTAATTTCATCAATAAAACCATATTCGTCATCTGAAAAACTCGGCTCTAACTCATTCGTTTCACTCATATCCACCTCACCAGCAACCATCCTCCGCACAGAATCGACAAAGCCATTCACAATCGAAAACCAAAATTTTCCACAGATTGGACCATTATTATCGCTTCAAGACCAGAGTCGATTTCAAAACTCAACATTTTTTGCAGCTTAAAGCACTGTATTATGTTATCTTCATTCCTAATGGGTTATATAAACAAATTCCATCAAACTTTATTTTTATTTCAGCAGAATTATGTTTAGCCAACTCTTTCAGAAGACTGGGAGTTTGCAACTTAAAGTTATTGTGCACGTAGCTAATCACAGCAAAATCCATCGCATGGATGAGCGAACATCGACATCAACATCAAGCATTTGCCTCGCTGGATTTGCAGGCGATCATACTGCCTATAATTGTGCAATAATTTCCCCATTACAAGCTTTTAACACTCATTAACCTTCAATCCGTCCGAGCCGTTCGAGCCGGCATGACTCTTGTATGTGATGCTGGGGCAGGGCAGGTAAGCATTTAGGGAGTCTTATTCAAGGACACCATTGGTCACGCATCAGTTAGCATCGAGATAACTTCAGTATTCTATATCTGATTGATAATTATTGCGTGATGCACACCTTAACTTCCTCCTTGATTTTTCTGAACCCCTTCTTTTATATCATTTTCCCCACTCTTGAGGAGAAATATTATGGATTCAGAACCACTGTAAAGAATTGCCTCAGATTAGCAAAAATCAATTCAGCGAAGAATGAGGAAATCAAATGAAGAAAAATTAGTACTGATAACCATTAATAACCATTCATGAAAATCATGTATTTTAAATTAAAGTAAGCACCTACACCTACATTTAGTGGATAATTCTCATCATTTTCAGTCAATTAGGCTATTCGTTCTGCTGGCCGATAGTGAGAAATTCTTGCCGGAGAATTCCTTCAGGACAAAGATGGAAGATGGATCTGTAGCACCTACATTTTTTAGAAACTCCGAATCCTCTCTTGATCTAAACAACTTGATTACTTAAATTTATGAAGACCACAGTATTAACTGTTGGTTCATCGAAGCAACACAAATTTTAAATTACGGTTTCAGTCACGCATTTCTCCAATTCTCTTATTTGTTTACAATATTTTTTATCGACGACATTTTATATTAAAATTAGCAGGAAGTTCTGGAAGTTAGAATGAATATTCTATTCGCATGCAATTTTCCAGTGAAAAACAAATAGACAAGCTCATTCATGTATCTTTTCCTGCCAGCCGTTATAATTTGCTCGCTATTCTATTCTTGTGCTTTTGAATTGTGCTTTAATAAATATTGCAGGTATTTTAAGAAAATATCTATTCGATACGATTACTGAACTCTGTGATCATCTTTTTGCTCGTATGCGATATTTTTAAAGGAATATGTTCGAAAGGGAATGACCGAGTGGTTGCTACTCAAGTCGAGCATCCTTTCTATCCTGCTTTTTTTTGATCATTGAAAAATAGTGACATGGAGATAGAATGGCTCAGTTGGTTCTTGCTCTATTCGGAGCGCCGATGCTGAGGCTTTCCACAGGAATGAATCTATCCAAAAATCCGGATGATGCTGGCGACTCACCTCTATTTCCATCGCCAAGGGACTCCCTGGCATATTTGTCCAGTGTGACAACGGAGCGGGTTTAATCAGTAATGGTGAGGACTCTTCAAAAAAAAATACTAGAGACGTACCTGTCAGCATACCTGCCTCCCAAATGGATTCCTGTAAAATTCTCGATCGTACTAGCTTAGTGTCGTAAGCCTAACCAGAAATTGTGGCAAGTCAACTGACTCACCTTTATTTAATTAAAGCACATAAATGCAGAAAAAATTTGTCGGTAGTTCTCTTTTCAATTATTATTCAATTATTATTATTTCAATTATTATTATTTTCAAATTATTTGCAGAATTTTTGGTTTTAATATTTTTGTATTAAAAGCGAAATTCATTAATAAATGAAAGACTTTCATTAGTAGCAAGAAACCCTTAAAAGCCAACAAAATTCCAAATCTCTAACCGCTTTTCTAATATTTCATTGTGCAAGGCAACAAGCGGCTGTTTCAATATACAATAAAAAAAAACCCTCTACGAATTTTTTTGGGGGAAAAGTTTGAAAAAATGGCCGTAGTTTTCCTCGATTTCTATTTGCATAAATATATATTTTCTCAAAATATGAAAATATTTGGATACAAAAATGAAATATAAGAAAATACTAATTATTCACTGTATAAAAATAGCGAATTTCGTTAACTTTTCAGGTTATAAACAGTTTTTTTCTGAAACTGCATTTTCAGTGCGTAAAAATTCGGTATTTGTTTCCCAGATTTATTGTACATGAAATCATTCATATGTGACTGTTTGTGACTGTATTGGTTTATGCCTTAAATAATATAAATAACTGCTCAGTAGTTATTGCTCTCATTTCGAAGCACGAATGTTAGAGTCTTATTCCTGGTAAGAGTGTAACTCTCTATTGAAAATCCGGACGGTCTGCTTTTATCAGCAATTGGCTTATGAACAAAAGTTTGGTTGGACAAGTAGAGCGAGTTTAGCTAAAAAATGACCATAAAAGAGCGTTCTTCACCTGCTAATTTACCTAATTTATTTGGAGATAACAAAATCTGTATGAAGATCAGCAAAACAACTACATAAGGCCAGTGAATTGAAATTATTAACTCTATATTTATTGTTAGCTCTAAATGGAGATTTTGACGATTATATATATTAATGATGAACAAGAGATTGAAGCAAGCGATAACACAGTTTTGTCCACAGTAACTATGAAAAAATATCTTATGGTATGTTTCATTTGTCATCATTGCGACTTTTTTCCTCCACCGTTCAATTATTTGCGAAATTCGAAGCTACCAGCTATCATCTACTATTGTTATATCATCAATGTCAAATATATCACCCAGGCCATTTACGCGCACAAGTGGTAAATTATTTTCATTGTTTTTAAATTTAAATTATTCAAGATTATACAGCTAAATGATTGCAGTTTTATCCCTTAGGAATATATTACAAGTTCATGAAGTAAAGAAAGTTATCTCCTATTATTTAAGAATCCATAAGAGTTTGGCCATAATAAAGCATTCCGATAGGATCAAGCTCATTATTCCATATTTATTATGTGGCCTTTAAATAGAAAATACCACTGGTCGTATCTGGTTAATTGGTTCCTTCATTCTGAAGTGAAATCGAATGGTTCCTTCATTCTGAAGTGAAATCGAATGGTTTATATGTTGCCTATCAGTTCTATCTCATGAGAGCAAATTTTGAAATGATGGCTGGAACTTATTTTTAAAGGCAGGGATGATCAGATGATACGGTTACTTCGCATCGATCACGACTTTACAATTTTCTGACTATATTTATATCCAAAAATGGTAGCGTTATCTATTACCTAACTTCTATTGCCAAATGATCCCTTGATTTTTTTCTAAATGTACTAACAGTCAAGTCAGTGCAAATTTTTGTTGTCGTGTCACTTTGTTATACATAACTCTGCTTATTGTGGTTCTGGAGCTGTGGTACTATAGCATGGAGTATCAGATGTAGCTTGAGAAATGCAAGTAGCTTTTGGTGATGAATCAGACATAAGATTGGTTCATGATCTTAATGATGCCTCCAGTTCTGTAAATCTATCCCAGCTTAAATAGTAGCTGCACAATACCAAAAAAGAAGGAAAGCTTGATAAGTATCCCATGAAGTGACCGAATATCAGAAAGTACGTTTGGAGATCTGTTGTTCACTGCTAATACAACCTTTTTCGGTATCCTTGCGATGAAAAGTAGAATCTTTATGACAATGTAAAAAGATCGGCGAAATGATTGCCCAAAAATGAATCCTCTCAATTCATGCTAAATACCGACCACTGGAAGAACTTTTTTCTTTAAGTCCTCACCATTACTGGTTAAACTCGCTCCACTGGCTCGTCAATACCTTGGACAATACACTAGGGAGAGCGATAGAAATAGTGATGAATCGCCATCATCACCCGGATTTTTGTATAAGTTTACCTCTGCTGGGAATCGAACCTCAGCATAGGTGTTCCCAATCGAGCAACAACCTAAGCCATTCTACTCCCATTGTGGAAGAACTATGCTCTGATGAACATCTGATGCAAGATTGGTCCACCACACCTTCTTAAAATCTGGTGCAGTTACAACAGCGCACAATTAAACAATTAAACAATTGGAAATAGCCCACCGGAAATTGCGAATAAAGCATCCTGGTCAATAGAAAGGATTCCACCATTCAGCACAATAACAACAGTCGCAAAAACTATTTTGCAAAAATTTGTCGAGGTTAAATATCGAAGACCTCTTCTTTCATCATATTCCCCAAATCTTTCGAAATAGAATTTTATTTCTTCTATCACTTCGATAACTTTCACAGAGATGAACACTCTTTTGAAAAGGAAGGTCTTGAAAAACTACCTTCAAGCAGTTCATCGATTCTAAAAACGGGCTTGTTTGCAATGCAATAAATGTACTTGTTTTAGCAAAAATGTGCTCATTCTGAAGGAAACATTGATTTTAATAAAGTTATGGCCTTATAAAACAAAGGAGATAAAATGGCAAGAAATTTTCGGATAATCTAATATTTAATGCATTTTTGAAAAAAAAATTATAATCTAAATAATGATAATGATCTAAACAAAACAATCAATCTTACGATTTTTAGCGAAAAACTTCCATATTTCCCCAAAAAAATTTTAAAATGACAATAATAAGCGATGGGCAACTCGATGCCGAAAAATTCATTTTCAGAAAAATGTCATCGCTTTTTGCCCATCTGTCACAATATTGGCTATTCTATAATTATGCAATAAAGTGTGCAATATGTGCTTCAAGACAACAATATCAAAGAAATTTCAGAAGTGGAATTATATTGTAAAATGTTGAAAACTGAAACTGTGAATGGATCATGGACGTTGTTTGAGTGTGTAGGGCAGTTATTCGGACATGGACCAGAGGAACTAGTTGAAGCAATCAGAAAAGGTCTTCAAACGCAATGGTTGATGCTCAAAAAGCTGAGGAGATCAGAAACAATTTCCGAGCTCAGTAAGCTTTTTAATTTTTTAAGAGATTTTTGATACCACTGGTACAATATTTAAATATTTAATATTTACAATATTTAAAATATTGATCATTTTTTTCAAATGAATATTATCTAACAAAAATATTCAAAAAGGTGCATTTCAGCGGAAATTGCTCAGGCGCGCACGCTTCTTGGAATCCACCTGGAAGCTTTGTGCAGAGTGAAAAATGTTCAAGTGATGTTTATCGATTTGAAGAAAAAGAACCTAGTCTTTGGAAACACAGGGCCTCTATATGAAATCCTGAGGAACGGAGAATCTTTCACTTATATAAGTGGTGCTAGACGCACGGTTTGGTTATTTTAAATTTTTATCGGATTAATATGTTAAGCAATAATTTTCGCTGCTATATTCAATAATAATTTTTTTGTTTTAGTGGGTTTCCTGTTTTGCCGAACTGCAAAATTTGTCAGTAATCGAAGAACCGTCAGAAAATTTTGTAAATAGTCCTATATATTGCATAGATGAAATTATGCAATATGACCTAAACGAAGAATGGTCTTCGAATTCAATGTCTTTACTTATGCCACCATTGAATGCGGTGGCTGAAGAAGAGATAGAGGATATCTCCAAGCCAAATATGAATCCTGGGATTTCTCATATTGTACTCAGCGAGAATTACACCACTGTCTATGGTGCAAACCAGAATGAATCACCGAGTTATGAGCTGTAAATATTATTTTTGCTGCAAGAAAATGAAAATCAAGGCTTATTTTGTTATAATTCTTATTATTTTCAATATAATAGCATAATCCTATTTTACTGTTGGCATCGAATTTTTTAAATAGTTCATAGCTTTAGATAATTTAAATAGATGATAGATGATATATCTTCTTCTTCTAATAGCTTTCACCATTACTGGTTAGACTGGCTCCGCTGGCTACAAAGGTAAGACATCTCCAAGTTGCTCGGTTCGACGCCATCGCTAGTAATAATAGAAGTCATTCCTTTTTCCATCATCTAAGTCTATATATTGCTGATCCCCCTATGTGTTCAAAATTTTTCCTAAATGTATCAGTCCAAGTCTTGACTGGCCCTCCTCGCTTTTGAGGCCAACCATCATAGGATTCGAAAAGTAGCGAAATATGTGTCAATTCCTGTGGTGGACGACGGAGAACGTGCCTAACCAGTGAAGACGGCGTTCTACGATGGTACTGTTAACGCAAATGGTATTTAAGCGTGAGTGGATGCCATCATGTGCTATTTTATCCGCTCGGCGGGCCAGTAAGATGTCTATTAGACATGAGAGGACAAAAGCGGATAGCTTCTTAATATCTTTCACTTTCATTGGCCATGTTTCGCAGCCATATAGCAAGATCGAACGAACTGCAGCTATATGGATACGGATTTTCGTCTTTATGGTGATTTCGCGATGGTTCCATAAAGATTTCATCAACCGGAAAAACATAATTCTAGCTGTCGCTATCCGTGTTATTTCATCCTTTCATCCTTTTCCTGGCCATTTGGGATTAGAGATGGATCCAAGATATTTAAAATCAAGCACTTCCTCAACTGGTAATGAATTGATAAAAATAGGTATTTTATTATTCATCATCTTGTATATAAGACGAAAATACTTTCGTTTTATTTACACTGATTTTGAGTCCAATTCTCGCTGCAATTATTGATACATTGTTTAATATTATTTGTATTTCCTCATATCTGTCAGCAAAAAGGACTACATCAAAGGACTCTCAGCGTATTCAAGGTCTGTGATGTTATGATCTGGACTGATTCGCACATTTCTTGCGTGCCGACGAGAGATGACCATTATCCTTTCTATCGCATAGTTGAATATAGATGATATCTAGTAACAATAATTTAAATATTCACTCTTCAGACGATCCCGAATCATTCCACGAATTTCCTTACAACGGCCAGATTCAAAAAACAGCGAATCGAGATGGAGTCCTGTAAATTTAAAAGGTGTTCCACCAGAATTTATTCATGATTTGGTTAAGCCGACGGCACCACCATATAACGTCCGTAGCGGAAAAGTAGGTTGGTAATTTCACCTGATAGCAAGGTTTTTTTTTACGTATAAGTTTTACGTTTTACGTTTTTTTCGTATTAGTAAGGTTTATTTCTTTATTAAATTACAAATTTTCGCAAGAAAAAAATTTTGAAAGAATATTTAATTAATCCAATCCAATGGGTTGCGCAAAATAATCATGTTTTCGTGAAAAATGTTTGGTAAAAATATTAAGTTATTTTTTTTACTAACATATTTCAGAATGCCGACTTCGCCACTGTCCAACTTTAGGAAAAAAATTCACATCCATCAAAGGATGGAAGATGCACGTGATAGTAAGCAAAGCACATCTTAAAGATGGTTTGTCTTTTATACAAGGTTTTCCACAGTCTTGCAGTATTTGCAAATATTCCTTGTTATTTTAACTGAAAGTGACTTTATGAGTTATGCTGCCTTGTTAGAAAGCCTTAGATAATCGCGCTCGGCGTTGGACGCTCGACTACCATGTCCTTGATAAGATAGGTATATGTTGACTGCCTAGAATTATTTATTAATTATATAAAAAAAATTAAAATTTTCTAGCATATTGCTGCCAGTGTAACCGCCAAGTTCAAGTAAGGCCAAATGCAAGTTTGGCGGTAATTAAAGTAATTTTTTTGATTTATCACTTAGTACTATTTTTACTCCAATTTCTTTATGTTTTACTTTTCAAAAAACTAAAAATTTTTTCTTAAAAACATTGAAACAAATAGTTTAAAATGTTTATTATGATCAAAATTCATGTTTCATTTTCATTTTTAATGATTGCATAAAACTCATACGAATCCTAATCAATCTTTTTTTTTCTGGCCCACCTCGTTGCTCATCGTCGCGAGCGATGTAGCATGGCATCAAATCAAATTTTCAAAAAACGACGACAAGAACAAGAATATTTAAAAATGCTTGGCCGCAATGCAAATCATCTTTATGTACCAGGTAATCAATTATGATTATTTAAGATCAAGAAGGAAAATTTGTATAAACTCTCTTTATGATAAGAAAATCAAAGAAATAAGCATCAAGCCAATTGGAATAGACTTCTTTCCCTCAGAAAAGTAAAGTTGAAGGCAATTCAGGGCAGTCATTGCGGATGTGCAGAATAGGAACGACTATCGCAGATTAAGGTGAGCTCGGCTCTTTTTGAAAATCCTTTTTCTCTACCAATTTTTTAATATTTTTCATTTTTTTCATTCCACTGGTACTGTTCTTTTTTTGTTTACTTTTATTAGGAAAAAAGTAATATTTTGTAATATCTAATATCTGATATTAGTATCTGCAAAAATACAGTGGTAAGATAGCCTCAAATTGTGCCATGCCTTTAAGCTTAAAATTTAAAAATTTTTTTGGAAAGTTTGTTTTAGTCATTCCTTGTTTTATCGTTTGCTTCCAGAAGGAGCAAATTGGGATTGAATATTGCGAATCGAAACAGGAAGATTTATTTCAGGTGGTAGTGGAGATTAAATGCTGTATTCCTTCCTTATTAATCATTTCTGCTGTATTGCTAAAGACAGCATATTTCCTTCATTATTATCGTTTATAATGAATCCGACTATGTATTAAAAATCTCTTTTTCTTGAATTTTTATTATATTTTACATTCTATTCATTTGTATCTAATACTTCTTTAATAGCATATACACAACTGGTTAGGTTTCCATCAGCCACAAGATTTACCCTTGAGTGAAGCAATGCACACCTCTATACATTATGTTGCTTTTTTAATATTTTACAATTTCAACTTGTTCATTGTTAATGAAATTTCCGATTATTAAGGAACTGCAGAGACCCAAATAAATTTTGAAAATGACCAGCACAAAAGTCTTTATTAATTAATTGGTTCAGTCAAATGTGCCTCGCTCTATTCAAATAGTGAGTTTTAAAATTCACCAGTTAAAGATGTTAATTCAAAACTGAAAACCATTATTCGTTTACTCATATATCCGTAGTTTGAGAAATAAATTCATTTATTTGGAAGTTGAAAAAAAAAAGAAGTTTATTAGAAAAGTTAATCCTTTCTTTGCATGGAATTTTCAAGTAGACCGTGTCGTTTTGTCGTAATTAATTATAAATGCATTCGGGACGTTTGGGATACTTATGCTGATTGTGCGCGTTGGCAATGAGATTTTCATGTTTCTCATAGTTTAGTGAATACTTGATCTGATTTTTCGAAACTAGAAATGACTTGTAACTCACTTTACGCGTCAAAAAGTGAAAAAAACATTTTGCGTAAGATTTAAGACTTTGAATCCTAACAATAATAAGACATTCTCAAATAAATGATAAATGAGAACAAAACATAATAAAATCTTCAAAATATGTTTAAAAATGAGTTCAGTGATGATGAACTTTATCAGTAAGTGAAACTTTCTTTGCCTTCCTTTCCTTAATATATATATATATATATTAATTATTATCTAATATCAACTAGTCGTCTATTTCGCCTACTGATTCCTTCCTCTACAAACCTAGGCAACCCATGCATTTCAGTCAAACTTTTTCCAAAAGACAACAATAATCGCCCTGGGTCCAGAAGAAATGCATTTCAGTCAATTGCAAATGCCCTTTTATGTTGAAAATGGTCGCCGACCGCAAAGGGGTCGCATTACTTATAAGATCAAACAGTAATATAAATGAGTAGAACAATAAAATTTAAAAAAAAAGACATCCAGTCTGAATCGAGGCTGCAAATCATTTTGCCTGGATATCGAAATTTCTTTTATAAGTGAGGACAGAAGAAACAAAGATAACATCATAGGGTAACAATAATTAGAAAGGTTTAGGTTGATAGGCCGAAAACAACTTTGTAAATAGTAAATAGTCAGACCTCGTTCAATTCTTCCAATCCTTCTTGAATCCTTAAATTAGATGACTTTGGATTTGCAAGTAGAAGAGATGCTAGAATTCAAACATAATAGAAAGTACTTTTATAGACCCTCGACTAACTTAAATCTAGGTAAGTGACATATTCCAAATGTACGCGAACGAATATACTTGTATACAATTTAATTAAAAAATTTTTGAAGCATAATTAAATTCTAAAATTCAAAATCCTACGTTTTTTTAATAACTTA